TTAAAATATAAAAAAAAAAAAAATAATTTCCCACTTTTTCCTTTTTCTCCCCCCCCCCCCCCCCCCAAAAAAAGTGGAATAAGTCACCATGTCTGGAAACTTAAACACATTTCCTTATTTAAGGTAGAAAAAAATGATTAAAAGCTTTTTCTTTTAATCATTTTCATCATCATTAAAAGCTTTTGGACAGACTAATTGTTTTATAAGACGTACCACTCATATTTTGGATTAAGGCAACGCTATTCTAAATCTACAGTCAGCAAGTTACCAGTAGTATGTCACTACCAGAGCTGATAGCCTGACTAATTAACCAACTAGTAGGTCTATAGAGCACAAAAGAAAGACTAATATATGCAAGCTTATTCTTAGTTTTGCTACAGGTGTTATTAAGTTTTAATAATTATTTCAGCAGCAGTCAATGATTGTTGCTTTTATGGTTGTTAGATCATGTCATGTCTAGAAAGTACTAGAAATGACATCTTTTTGCACTCTAGCATCGATGCCAACGGTGTCAGTGATTCCTGGATTAACTGGGCCGATCTTCCACTCACGAGAGCTCTAAGCTCTTTAGAGCCACTGAAAGTGACCCTCACCTTAATGTGTCTACAGTGCCGCCCGCTGAGAGCCTGCTCCTGTTACAACTCCTCTCTGACACATGATTAGGCCATGAATCTGATTAAGGTCTCATGCAAACAAATACAATCTGCAGGGCAATCTGAAAGCAAGAAACATTTGTTCACCAATATAAATGAGAGATGACTAGATTGCATGATTAGAAAGACATGACGAGGGGAAATCCCAACTACTAAGAAGAAGAAAACTTCATAAATGAAAAGTGCTGCTTTATGCTTAATCTTTTAATTTTAGTTTATTTATGGCGAATCTGATTATCAGTGAGTGACAACTCATCATCCAGTCCTGAAACCCCTCTATGCGGCAGCAGCTGATCGGTCCTTGTCATCCAGACACAGAGACAATTCAGTGTCCTCTCCACATGTTGAGCCACCGGCTGCAGTGTCTCCTGAAGCTCTGCAGCTTTTAAACTCCCTGACGGAGCTCAGTTCAGCTTCATCTGCCTCCAGCAGCAGCTCACAGTCGAGACAGCAACTTTTAACCTCCGCCGCACTCACCTTTTTACGCGACACTTGCTGTGTTTTCAGCGTAACCTTTCCTCCTCTCGCCGCACATCATGACTTCTGCAACAGCGAGCTTCCGCTTCCAGGTGTTGTGCCGTAAAGCGCGACTCTGTCGTCACCAGCAACCGGTACGGCAACGCGGAAGTCAGTGTGAGATTTGTTGTTCCATTAAAGGGCCATTACGCTGATTTTAAAGACTCTGGGCGGCCTTTGGTTTAAAATCTAAAAGTTTGTTTCAAGGTGTGAAACACAAAAAGAACGTGTTTTCCCAAACAAAATAAAGCACTTATGAATAAATTGCTTTGAAGAGTATGAAGTTGGTGTTTAATCATTTCATCCAGGTTTGACTAGTGTGAAACCTGCTGTTTACAACAAGATTAATATGTCCTAAATGTGCAAAAAAGACATTTGGTTTCTCAAATAGATGAATAGTTTGGGATATAAATAGTGATTTAAGTCAATAGTGTCCAAACTTTTTCCCACACTGACCAAAATCAAGACACTTGTGGATCACAAACAGAGATAATACAAATATTAATAATAAATTTGATTTATGCTTGTGGTCCTACTTTCTTTAAAATTAAAATTAAAGTGAAACATATGGTCAAGTTAAAAGTACTATTAGGCTTAAAAATTAGCATAGTTTTAAATAAAACCTGAATAATTGGATGAATATTTGTTATCTGTCTTATTTAAAAATTGACCATATACATAGTGTTGCAACATTTTCCTTCATAAGAAGTTTACGCAAAAACCTGTAACTAAACCATTTTAAAACTGCATTTATAAACCAACTACTTAAGCTAATTTGGGCAAAATTTTTAACAACTTTTGTATTGCAAACTGGAGCCACACTGAAATCCTAAAAGGTCCCCAAAGCTGCACTTCAGAGATTTCTGTTCTAAACATAAAAAAATACTATTTTAAAGAATTTTTAAAATGTGCAGAAAAAACAGAAAAGGTTTGTAGTAAATCTTTCAAGTATAGCTAATCAAAGAGTCTGCAGAAGCCTTAAAAAACAGTGTAATAGTCCTTTAGTGGAGTGCCGAATCGTATACTATCTTCAACCTCAACCTAATACAACATTATAAAATAACTATTTACAGATGTGTTTTCAATTAAAGTACACAAAAAATATTACAGCATTATTAGTAATAACTACTATTTTACAAGAATGCTTTTAAATGCGTTTCTTGTGAGGAAAGTCTTTTTACGGCAACGGCGCTTTTTGCGACACAACACCGGTCAGAGTGTTGCCGCTAGCCGCTGAGTGGCTCACCGGCGTCACAGCAGAAAACCCGACTTTAAACAAAGTTATAACGATGGACCACGCCTGTCAATTAAACTGCCCAACACACGGCCCCTGTAGCGCAAAACTCGGCGTGTGTCCGAGCCCTCTTTGCGTGTCTGTGGGCAAAGAGAGGCTCCAGTGAAGGTGACCTTCAGTCAGTTCCACTGACACCCTGTTACCGAACATGTGCGTCGGAGTGAACTGGCTCACACCGGCATGTGCTGCTCTATTGATTCAAGTCTGAACACAGATATCCGGGGTTTTTAGCGCAAGTTTTCATGTTCTCTGGTCTGAAAAGATCTGGACAGAGCAACAGCTAAGTGCATGCTAGCTGGGAATGCTAACTGTGTGGAGCTGGAGCTGCTGGAGTTAGCATGGCTTAATGTTGGTGTCAGACGAAAGTGCATGACAGTCACTGCGATAAATTGCAGTACAGCAGTGCCATTTTATGGAAATTGATAGATGTTGTTACCGTTCTACAGCTGGATGTCAGAAGGTTTGTATTTTGGACACAAGACACCAGAAACTAATTATTTGGGTCAGGAGATGTCAGGAAAGTGTCCTAGCCCGAGCTAGCATACGTCTGAAAGCAATATTAGACTACAGCATATCCATTTAAACTAATTTAACATAAAATCGCGTTAGAACAACGTCTTAAAAGCCTCAATAAGCAAGTTTCGGTATCACTAAGAGGGTGGGATACTTCTCATTCAGAATGAGTGGACAGCATAATTACCCCTTTACTCCTTCACTCTTAATACTTTGAAGTGTGCAACGGAGTGAAGGCACTTAAAGATCATAACGCTGCACGCAAATGTGACTAAACTCAGTCAGGGAGGCTTGCACCGGTTCGGAGGACAAAGTCTTGTCGCTGCATCCCTGATGACCTCAGCTGGTCTGCAGCAGGACTCACCACAGCCGCAGGACTCCTTCAGGCAGCCCTTACTGGTCCCAGTGCCCTCCTGGGCTCCGTCCCGTTGGAGATCCACCGGATTACAGTCAGGCACTGACGCCGGGATGTCATCTGTCTTGCTCACCATAGTCGGCAGTCAGTGTGTGGCTCCAGAAACTGCCCTCCTCCGTGCAGCTTTCAGCTCTCAGCAGTGTGCTGTGGTTTTAAGTCGAGAAGCAGAATCAGAACCGGTCCGCTTCTGAGGCTCACACCTGGTCCGGAATCTACATGCGAAGGGTAGCAGCGGCTTACAAAAACAAGGCTACAGAGGAAGGACAGAGCTGTACATGGTGGTGGCGCTCAACACACGTGGTTTCCCTCCCCTCCTCTTGACCTCTTTGCCTTTGCGTGGACGATCTCCACCTACAGAGCGTGGCGCTACGGAAAGCCACATGCGACAAATGAGCCCGAGCAGAGGCAAAGTGGTGCAATGAAAGGAGTATTTTGAAATAAAAAAAAATCACGGTGACAGAGAAGCGCTGTCATTCTTACACCAGATGAATGTTAATTATGATTAAGTCATTACGAAGAGGACTAAGAATTAAAACATTAACAGAATCTGGCTAGTGTTCTGTGACTGTAAGCGTTTTGAAACTAAAAATCAGTAATTCAAATCAACATTTTTCTGGATCTCAAACAATGTGCGTGAAGGTATCATGTATTGTTTGGAGCGACTGAGTTTCTGAGACATTATGAAGGAACTTAAGAAAATGATGCGATTTTTTAAAATCTTTTTGTTTTTCTGATATGCATGCTATTTATTTATTTTCTATTTTATTATTTATATTTGTTTACTTTGGGGATTAGGTTGTTTAATGTAAATCAGATGTACTGCTGTAAAAAAAACAACCTTACTGTAAAATGTTTAATAGCACAGAAAGGAATAATTAGATGTTAGCCTAAGTAAATAAATATACACTCTCCATCAACAACAACAACAATAATAATAATGGTAATAACATTATGTCTATAAATATTTTTGTCTTATCCAGATCTTAACTTTTTTTCTAGTAATTTATCAGTTTGCCCTTGTTAAATATATAAGAGGATTCAAATGTAATTTATTCTTCATTAGTTTAAAATTATACACCAGTATCCAAATAAATATGAAGTGATTTATGCTCAAGGATTATAAGCTCTTACTTTTTTTTAGGATGACAGTCTAGGTTTGGTCTTCTGCACACAATCCTAGTGTAATATTTCTAAACATTTGTCACCAGCTTTGTCACCGTTTTTACATTTGTCACGTAAAAACGTCCTTAATTGAAGAGTGAAAATTTGTCTAATCGTGTATGAAACTTTTAAGAAATAATTTTATGCTAAGCTAAAACTAAATAGATATATATATTTAAACACACATGAAAAGACGTAACCCTTTTCTTCTCACTGCCTCATATTTAGAAAATATTTTACCCAATTGAGTTAAACAGAAAATGTTTGACTTAATGTCAGATGAAGACAAAACATATGTTCTTAGAAGGCCCGACTATTTGGGGCCTCCTAAGGACAAGTTTGAACGTTTAACGTATTATTCTAAATCGTCCTTAATAACAATACTTCTAAATATAAAAAGACTGCAAAAATAAGACAAAGTTCTTTCTGTGAATTCATCAATACACTTGCAAAATTTCTCTTTAATTGTCTCAGATTAACTTTCAACAACAAAGTATTCGGCACACTCAGCAGTCCCCTATTTTATTCCATTTTTGGTACAGTTTCACTGTAGGTTGCCAGCACAGTATATGCGGTAATCAGCATCTCATGCTCAGCCTCAGGCCAAACCAAGACAAGAACCTTAAGGGACACCTTTCTTCATCCCATGTCGAGTCCCACACAGCATTATTGCTAGAAATAATCAAGAAAACATGTCCAAGAAGTGGCTTGATGGAGGTAAATAAATGCAGTCCAGAAAAATCAACTTTAGACCTAAACAATGAGAAAGTATAGAAGCATTGCTGCTTCCTTCTTTCTGTCTAATAAACAGAGTAAATCTTTAAATTATGATTTTTATTCTTCCGTCAGCTGAGATTTCTCTTAATATGTTGTAAAAAGTTGGAAATGAACAATCCAGGCTTGGATGAGTCACTGCAGCTGGAATATTAAAGGAAAAAAAAATAGATTTTAAAATGTGTTGAGATTACTTTGTTCCAAACTAGATGATGTAGAAGAAAAATGTTGCAGTAAGGGAGTCTAACAGTCGAACGTCCGCATGTCCTATTTTCAGTGCAACAGCTGTCTTGGAAAAACAAAATAACAACCAGAGGGTGGGCTAAGATATTTAGCAAAATAATTCATTTCAACTAAGACAGTCCATAAAGGGATGCAATAATATTCCTATTTGCTTAAGGAGTGGAAGCAAAGAAACAAATCTATCAGACAAAATTACAAACCAAACTCAGAAGGTTAGATTATCACAAAATATAAAGGTAATTCCTCTTTAGCTCTTTTTAGAATATGTAACCTTAAATATAAATACAAATAATCAATCATCTATTAACATATTGTTGTATATGTAGTGCTAAATATTTAGCTGGGAGATTAGGAAGGAAGCAAATCAGAACAGCAGCAAAATCACGTTTGACGTCAATAACAGAAAATTCAGAGCAGACACTGAGAATTACACACAGTAAAATGATATATATCTATAAATCCCAAACGGAGAGAAGAAATTTCCACCCTGCCCTGCTTATTTCGTCGTGCACAAATCACCTGCTATAAGGCTGCAACTACAGAGAAGTAGTTACTTTTTAGAGATTGCCTTCGTACAGTCAGCAGAAAAAAAAACTTTCCTAAAAGACATAACAAAAAAGTTTAAATTTAATTTAGATTTTAGTGGTGTTAACACCAGAGGTCATCACCTTCTGATTTCCAGAGAGAGATGACTCCCGTCTTTCTGGATATTTACAGTCTTTGTGAAGATTTTTAACATTAAAGAGACACAAATGAGTAAAACCAGCCATTAAAATGTACAGACTCCTTAAAGATGAAACTCTTTTGTTTGTTTGCTTGTTTGTTCTCCTGAGGTCAAAAGAAACTCCAACACAACAAAGCAACAGATGAAGTCGCAGTTCAGGAGACAAGCCACACCTGAGGAAGACTGGGCCGCTGGTCGCTTCGCCCCTTCGCCGTTTCATGCAGGTTGTTTGGTTCAGTTAATCATTTAAAGTGGTTCTGTTCATGTCGGCTGCAGCGGAGTTTGTTTATACGACTTCAATGAATCATATAAACAAAGGTCGCACAGGCTTTTTTTTTTTCTGTTAGATTATTGGCCATGATCATAGGATTGGTCTTATTTGACTGGATCAAATGGAAATCAGAACCACACTCAATGGAAATTTGCTGTAATGCAAAAAAGGACACAAAAAGATACAAAATCAAATAAAATTTAGCTTTGAATATTTTTAACACTTTATTTGAAGTGTTGCATGGCACTGTCATATACATAAACGTGAAGAAGTCTTCATGAATGTTTACAACTGTTGTCATGAAGTGTCATTCGGTAAATAATGACACCTTTAAGGCAAAGTTGCACTAAAAGTTGCATTAAAAGTCCATTAAAAGTGTAAACTTAGCATTATTTGGTCAATAATAACCATTTTAATGCAAAGTTCTATTAAAATTTCCATTAAAAGTTCATTAAAATCGTCAACTTTGCATTAAAAGTGTCATCATTTACTGAATGACAACATTCATAAACATTCATGAAGACTCCTTCTTGTTGATGACAGATGTTATGCCATGTATGACAGTGTCATGCCAGTCTTATGCACACACCTTCAAATAAAGTGTTACCGAATATTTTTATGATTCAGGAACACTAGTAACACATATTAAATTAAATAAAACTAGCTAAGGGCGTGGGTACCAAATGATTTGTAAATAGATGTGAAAACTGAAGGGGGTTGGGCAGAAACATTCAAAGGTGGCTGCAAATAATCTTGATGAACTCCAAAAAAAAAAAAAAAAAAAGACATTAATGACATAAATATGCGTAAAAGTCCTTTTTCAATATTCATATTTATAAAATATGTGATGCATAAAACTGTCTGACCAAATTAAGCTTATCGCGGTGGCCCTCTGTAGTTGTCCCTTGGTGGGCACCTTTGAGTTTGGGTTACCACGGCAACATGGCGAAGGGGAAAACTGACCCAGATCTCACAGTCCAACGAGTCACAGCCGAGAGTTACCTGAATGCGGCCTTGTTCTGTGAAGTTTCAACCCAAAGAAAAACCCTGAAGATCGTCAAGACAGGCACTGAGGCACAAGTTCAGCTTTGAATCTTCACAACTGAAGTATTTTCAATAGCAAGAAATTATTATTAAAGATGGAAGAGTAACTTTTGTTATTTTAAATGTTTGCATAGATTTGAACTACATCCGATTCTTTTTGTTTTCTAAAATTGTTTTCTTCAAGCGATCATTTGTCTGTGGATGAAAAACTAGAAGGGAAACTCAAGAGACAAACAATTTTACCTAAAGCAAGTCTAACACGCTATAGACATGTTTTGAAATAATAGGGATATTGGAAATTCAGTGGTTTTTACTTTTCATCCGTCTTATGCTGGTACAAAAAATGATCTGAAACCGCAGTTCTTTTTTTCCCCAGTGTCTGAGCCAAATTAGTGACAGATTCCATGTTAGCATTTTACCAGCCCTTTCAACACCACCTGAGAAGTTTGAAGTGATTATTTTAAAACTCAGACAAGTTTTTGTGTTGAGAGAAAACTCTAGACATTTGAGTCTCCAGACTAGCCTGTTGACAATTACGTCACTGTAGTGATACATGAGAAGTAAAACGTGAGCCGGTACTTTGGAGAATAGTTAGACTTTCAGCTGTTTCCGTTCACTTCTGCTATGTTGTAGACAATTACTGTAGAGCTCATTGTTTTAACAACTGTCTTTCTCCTTCATGAATAAATGGGAAACAGAGTTGTAAATCTGAATATGCAGTAGAGTCTGCTAAGAAAAAGGCCTTACAATTTCTAAAATAATTACAAACTCATTTTCCACATTCTATATTCTGCTCATTGTGATTAAAACACACACACACACACACACACACACACACACACACACACACACACACACACACACACACACACACACACACGCTCTGCTCCCACTCAGGTATTTTCAGCTGCGACTCAGTCGGAGGACACCGACACTTGGACACGCAGCCTGATTTACAGTCGGCCTTGGAAGATCTCAGTTGACTGGGCCGAGGTCAAACTCACCGTCTTTACAAATCAAAGCTTCAAAATTAAGGCTCCGCAGAACGCAGAGCATCTAACAGCAGTGTAAACCTAAGTCGTGACACTCACCGACGTTTGCTATGCAAGTTATTTTAGGATTATATTAAAGATTATTATAAAAGTATTAGCAGTAGGTGTATGGTAATTAAATAGCTAAACCCAGTCTCAGTAATAATTCAGTCAAGGTGCAGAGCAAAAGGTAATAGTATTAACAGTCTGATGGAAGATAGCATACAGCGGTCGCTCTGTCGGGTGAAAGCAGAGATGCTCAGACGCTAATCTGCGTTGGTCTGAGCAGCAGGGGGCGCTGCTGCTGAAGACATCAGTCTGGCTGCTTCATCGTGGACCTCCACCGCTCCCTCCCCGCCTCCTTCCTCCTGGCCATCCCTCTCCAGGCCCAGAGGAGGCTGTCTTTGTGCCACAGTGTGTCTGGAGCGGGCTCTGTGCCTGCGAGGCTGCAGGAAGAGCGCCGGGTCCGGCATGGCTGTGGGCTCCGCGGGGCCCAGCACCTTCTCTATGGGGACGCACTCCCGAGCGCGCTCCACTCTGGAAGACACCCTGATGTTCTTACGCTTGGGTTTGACCACAGGAGAGGACGGGGAGGCTCCGGCGAGGGGGGAGGAGTTCTGCTCGGCTCCCAGCTGGACCCCCTGGCTGCTGGCCCTGGCCAGGAGTCCCTGCCTCTGCTGCATCCTCTGGTGGTGCAGCTTCTGCTTGGCGGCGTGCAGCTGGAAGGAGAGGTACGCCGCCGCCTCCGTCTGCTTCTGAAGCTCCGTGTTCAGGACAGTGGAGCAGTGGCTGCGCCGTTTCAGTTCCTCCAGGAAGTGACGCTCCTTTTCCTTGAGGTTGGCCCTGAGGGCTCCCACCAGCGCTCCTTTGTGACCCAGCTCCTTCCGGAGCTCTCCCAGAGTGTACTCTTGCTCGTCCAGTCGCGTTTCCAGCTCCTTGCAGCGGGCCTCCAGCATCTCCTCTTCCTCCAGTAACTCTGTCACAGAAGCAGAGCAAGTATGAATATCTTATAAATGTTTACTGCACAAATAGGGCCCGTTCACCCTTATACGCTTAGATAAAATCAAGCGCAGGACCTGGCAACTACTGTCAAGCCCTTATGGAAAAGTGGCAAAGCAAAAGAAATTGGTGGAGAAAAAAAAAAAAAAAGCCAGAAAAGATAGCGATTGGTCATGTGTTGGATACAGATAACGTGGGGTGCTCTGGTAAGATGACTCAGTAATACTGAGCTACATCCAAGAGTTTTAGATCTAAGCATGTATGTTTAAGAATGATCCAGTCAAAACCGCAACACATTTGAGAACCTGTGGCTGTCAGGATTATGGGTTGTTTTGTAGTTTTGGTCGTGTATTGCTTAGCTCATCCTTGTTTCTGTCTTACTGTAGAGCAGTTCATTTTCAGTCATTTCAGCTACGTCGTATTTCATCTTCCCATCAAGTCTGACCAGCTTCCTTCTTTCTGCTGAAAATAAAAATGTCTGCAGCACATTGCTGCCACCACTGTATTTCACAGCGCACCTGATGTGTTCACATTGACATGCAGGGTTTGATTCCTCCCACACATAATTCTGCATGTTGCAGATAATGTCCAAATCGAATCCTTCCTGTTAGATACTTTCCCCTCTTGTTAGAAACCAAATGAAATGGGGAAATTATTAATATATTCTGCCTTGTCTTTATGAACATATTTTAATTTGCAGTCCCTCCACATGACAGGATGACTGGTCCACCCAATAAATATTGGGAATCTCCAGTATATGTGTACTATTCTCAACAGAAAGCCCCAAAGTCAGACTCCTCTGCTGTCGGTTTCCTGCCAAGGTTAGGTCTCCCACGTTGTGCTGTTTAATTTTTAGTCGTCTTTTAGTTCCTGCGAACAATCTTTGAGCCGTTTCAGTCCCACCTCCAGGCAGAGGAGGTTCAGGCTAAAAGCTCTGAGTCGGTAAAGTTCAGTGACTTTGCGGTGGATCATTGTCCTGCTGCTTAACCCAAAGTGGGCTTCAGTTTCCTCAAGCGTGCAACGCGAGGCGGAGGTGAAGTCAGACGTGTGGAGGTTGGTAGCGAATGAGCAACGACTTTTAACTTCCTACAAGTATTTATTCAACTGAAGCAAAATAAAAAAAAAATGAAGTGCCAACTTTACTATATGCTACTAGAGAGCACACAAAAATACACACAGGAGAGTAAAAGGATGACCTACTGGTCATAATAAGGCAAGTGGTGCCACCATGTGGTGAAACACTGCATTACAGCAGAAGGAACTGCTGAAAGCAACAGAGCAGCTCCACATCATCACACCACCACCTCCCTGCTTGAATGTTGATAATGTGTAGAATCAGATCATTTTGTTGAATCATGCTCCAAAGCAACGATGTCTGCTGTTAAATAATTAAGTGCATTTGATGGGGACGTTTTCCTAACGATACAGCGGAATCAGCAGTAATCTATTGGGATGCGTTATTACAAATTACAATGTCTCAAATTACAGTGGCAGCCACACAGTCTTCCTCCTACTTATTTTTAAGCTAAATACAGTTTTATTACAAAATGAACAGGATTACTCAGACGACATCTTGTCCTTACTGTATGTATAGTTATTGTAAATATTTGTGCATATGTGGATGCATACATTTGTTTATTCCCTTTTTCAAAGGGTACAATAAGCAGTTTTCCTTCTAAATGGCTTGAAATAAAGCAATAAACTAAATCAGATCCAAATACATTTGGCCCCAGTTGAAGACTAGATCGTTTTTGATATGACTTGATACCTAAATCCCTAGAAATTAGAGATGGCGTGCTTTCTTTTCCATCATGGCCGTAATGCTATCTGCCCATCTTTATCTTCCCCTCCTCCACGTCAGTCACCGACTGCGTCCCAACTCCTCATCCCTCTCCTCTCCGCCTCACGCCGCCTCTCTCCTCCCACTTCTTCCTCTCTCTTTCTTTTTCAGGCCTTACATCTGAGTAAAGTCTGTAAGCAGACACTCCCACTGGGACCTCCAGTAGGAACTGGGAGCAGAAGAAGAAAAAAGGGAATGGATCGATTTGTAAGGCCATGCTGTATTAATGGATTGGGGGATAACCTGCCCTGGAAATAAAGGGATCTAATGGCTGAGTAATGCACCCAAGCCAAAACCCACTTCTTACTCCTAGCAGCCACACTCGCTCGCCTTTTGACTCCTCTTCCTCCTCTCTGTGTCTAATTCCATGTGACAAAATGGAGCCCGTCTCTGCAGCCACAACTGGACATCAGCCATGAGGCGAAGCTGTTGGATCACGTGTGTGTGTGTGTGTGTGTGTGTGTGTGTATCTCACACTCTAGCAGAGTTGTTGCAAATTTTTTTTCACACAGCAAAACTGCACATATGACCAGCGGAGTAAAACATTCATGGCGTGCGAACGCTTTGTCAGAGGTTTCTCTGTCTTAGCTGGTGCAGGGATGAAGGATGAGCTGCTGACAGGGATCGGTTCCCCTGAGGGATGGGAGGGGTGGTCAGCTGGGGATGTAAATGTTCGTCTGTCTTTGTGTCCTCAGAGCAAAGAGTAGAATAAAAATCCAAGAGGCAGCAAATTTTCACACTTTGCTCGTTACAGGAACAAGCTTTAGTGCGTTTTTTTGTTGTTGTAAATTTTCTGATAGAATAATGCAAAACTGCGCACAGTTTTGAAATAATAATAATAAAAAAAAAGACTAAATGGGATCACGGAGATTTACTACCTACTTATTTCTCTCTATGCCCTGAAATCCACATTTGTCCGTTTTTAGGTTTCATCACTTCTCATTTGACTTGTGTCTAACCAACAACGACCTACGATCACTGAATGCTCTGCTGTTCCACATCCCCAACTGAGTTTCACTTCTAGCTCCAACTATTATACATAAATTCAAAGCAGGTGAAAAATGTCAATTCGTCATACCGTTTTTGATCTCGTGTTGTTAATAGTAGCAAAACTGGTGCTGCCTTCTTTGCCAGATTTCCCTTTTAAGATAGATTTCGTTTTTAGTGGGACTTCCCAGGTTAGATGAAAGGCAAAAAACTAAAAATAAGGTTCTTAGCAACATGATCCCACCTACGCCGTTAGGTACTTTCTGTTCAGGTGGCTGAATATAAATATAAGCCACACTTCATACTTTTATTTGTACATAGCAATGCATTTGTTTACTTCCTCATAATAAGGACTACTTTATTTGGATAAGTCACAAAAAAAATTTAAAAATAAGATTTGTGATTTTAACCTGACAATGTGAAAAATCTAACATGCACTAATACTTTTCAATGACAGAACAAGATAAAACTGAGAAAGACATTTGGCACATTATCAGGGCTCCCACAAACTTTCCATTTCAAACGACTTGATCAAGAGTTTTCCGTCCGATTTGAGGGGAATATGTGCAGTTAAGTATTAAACATTTTCATAGTTTGGGTAGTTTGATTTTGTAAGCTTTCTTTTGAAACTGTAGCAAAGTGAAACTTTGGTCAATTAGAATCTCTAACACATAAGAACGGAAATGAATGATCAAGAATCAAATGCAGATCCTCTAAATGGGATCAGTGATGCAATCCTTTAACAAAATTTTTAAAAACAAAACAACAAAAAAAAGGAATTTTTGTGCTTTGTTTGAATCTAAATCAAAAAACAAAACAAAACAAAAAAAAAACCCAACAACTTTAGTCTAGTTCAAAAATATTAAAATGAGGCCGCGCAAGCTGTGAAAAACCCATTTTTGTTATTTAGTGTGTGACAGTAAGACAAACCACAAGTCATCAGTGTGCTCAACAGTGAAGGAGCAACATCATCATCATCATCAATGTAAAGGGCCCCTCCGTTTTTTATAGATTTGGGTTTCAACATTTTACCCATACTCAATTTTAACCTTTCTGTGCTCATCCAGAATATGAAAATTACTAAATCAACCCCAGACTTTTCCAGATCTTTCAGAAAGTGCATACCTATCTGCGTCCTGCCTGGAGGCTTCGATTTCCTCTCACTCGTCAGCTCTGAAATGAGAAAAAACAAACAAAAAAACAACACAAACTGGCATCACAGAGACGAATCATATCTTGTTTTATTTATTCTGTTTACACATGTTAGCTACAGTTTATAGCATATTCTCAGAAAACTCATGAATAATTTACTCAAACTAAAATGTGAAATCATCAAAAACTGTATGGAATAGACTCGGTGGAGCCGTCGCAACATAACCTATTAAAAACGGTCTGTAGTGTTCCTTTACATGGATTACAGCGCCTCAGTGGAATCAATACATATTTAAATTTAAAAAAAAACTGGAGGCTCAGGTTCAAGAGGAAACATAAAGAAACAGAAACCATCCACAAGCTCAGCATTTGGCTTTCTGCTCTGCAAACCATGGCATATTTAACAAAACAAAAGCTGACCATGCTGCACAGCCTGGTCCCTAAACAATTAAAGTCTCAACTTTAGCCTGCATTTCATATAAACCATAAAAAAGCAACAGGTCACTAAGATGGTTTGGCTCATCACAAGGCAAGTTGTTTAGCGATGAAGTCTTTTCTGTCCTTGTAATGCCTCTATAGAAACACCAGGGGTCAGTTGGATCTTAAAGGGGAAGACACACACAAACAGGACTGAAGGAGATTTCCAGTTTGGACACTTTAGACTCTGTTCAGCTCAGAGTTTGGGTCGTTGGCCCTTTAAGAAATCCCACAGTTCTATGTAAACTACAGGTAAAAAAAACACAGGATAAGACGTAATGTCAACAACCTACAGTACAAATTAATATAAGATATATTTTTAAATCTGTTTCCTTTGTTTTAAGCATTTCTATTTTGAAGATGGCTAATTTCTCAATTGATCCAGGAAGTAAAAAAACAAAACAAAACAAAAAAGCTAAAGAGAATCAGGAGGTCAAAACATTAAAAAAACAGATTAAAAAAATATCTTTCTCTGCTATACAAGACAATTTTACTTTTACACCTTTTATCTTACACCAGGTAATTCAAAGCCATCAAGAAGATGCAGAAAATATAAGTAATCGTTTCAGTTCTGCTTAGAGCAGGAGATTTACTAATGTTGATAAAAACATGTAAATCATTCTCATCCTCTAAGTCTCGAGCATGACTGTGAGCTGTATGGAAACAAATCCAGTCTGGGATAGTTCTGTGGGGCTTGTCATTTCCCACGTCGCTGAAGCTCACCTGAATGCATCACGGTCTGTAAAACAACCAGTTCATCCCTTTGAAATCTCTTCATTTCCCACTTTATTAATTCAGGGGTGCAAACACCTTTTCATTATAATGGTCGTACTTACTATATTTTTTTCAAGCGCCCGACTACTCTGTTTACGATGCTCATTTATTAATTGAGCCAAAGACAGCTTGAAGTGAAAAGGCGTAGGAGGATCGCTGCTTGTGTCTGGCCCGTCAATCAGCGTGTCGGCATCAGACATCTGCTCAGCCAGCGAATCTGTCACACACTTCAGCTCGGCATTGGGGGGTCGATGGCTGGCTCATCTAATCCTCAGATATGTCTGAACGTACAGAAATATTCCTGTAAGAGGAAATATTTAAAAATTTCTATTTTCAGGCACAAACCTTCCAAACTGTTGAATTTCTTTACTAGATAATAAGGATAGGCCTGTCGCAATGAGTAATAAATCAATTAATCACAAGATTAATTCAAACTTTTTCCTTTTCTCTCTCTTTCCACCAAAATTGTGTGACAAAAGTCTTCAGTTTGTTGTTTTGGTCTCAACTATCCCTTTTTTTTTGAAGATTAATTTTGTTCACAGAGACTTCATTTTATTTGTCGTTTTTTTTTTAAATTATTATTATTTTAGATATTTAAAGAGTTCCAGTGTTAAATGTTTGCTAGAATTTACAGTTTATTGATATTTCAGAGTGAGTTGGTGCATTATTATGCCAATACCGTTATATTACTTGAAAATGGCCTTTAAAGAACAATATTATCATTTATGGCAATAACGTCTGGGACAATTTATCATCCAGACAAATTTGTTATTGTAAAAGGCATGGATAAGAACTTATTTACTTTTGTTATCATTGTATTTATTATTTCCCATTTCCCCATCTCTTATCCTCATGTCACACCATTTCTTTCCTCCGCTCTGCAGCTGGCAAGAAAAGAGACGGAGGCAAAGAATCAAGAGGGAACAGCAGCAAAAGGGAAAGAGATGGAAATACTGTCAGAAAACTTTCCAGCAGCTGGTTTTATGGTAATGAAGGACGGCGGAAGAGCTTCAAAAGCTCCGATTTCTTGTTATCCTTCTGCACCATCAACGCAAGGCATTTATGCAGCCAATTCATTAACAACATGCCGATAGTGAGGGAGGACTGAAAACGGAGCATTCAGCACATTGCAGCATCCAGCAACGCTTTGTGGGTCAGCCTTATCTCCAGCAGCCCATAACTGAGCATTAGAGGTTTTCTGTTTCATCGATTCTGCCTTGAATGCTGCAAAGATATCCTGAAGGACAAACCTACTGACAGAGACAATAAAACGTGCACTAAAGCAGGGGAGGGGAAAAAAAAGAGACCTAATTTAAAAGAAGTGAATTAGCTTGTGGCTGAAGGAGACGGCAGCAAAGAGGCATTTTATGCTGATGAGAAAATTCAGGAAGCAATAAAAGGTCAGCAGCAGAAAGACGCAGCTGATGATCACAACATGCTCGGCTCAACCTTGCAGCAACCTTCGAGGCGGCAGATGAGTGAGCGGACTGAAAACACACATTTCATCTGCAGACATTAAGAAACGTCCCCTTCGTAAAACCTATTGAACACGTAGGTGCACTACAAACATAAATGCTCTGAAACTGCGCAGGAAGCATGTCTTATTACGCGACGAACGGCTTTCTATAAAAGCCGTGCGACCGTCGAGGTGGATGGCGGGATTTCAGCAAGAGACTCCAACTAAACTGAAGGCTGAAACATGTATAATATTTAATGCCGTGCTCTTGAGACGACGTCTTTAGCATTTCGCGTTGAGAAATCAGATCTTAGGTTTGTTTTCTCTTGATGAACGTTCAGTTATCCTGTTCTTCTGAAAAGCACGATGTCTGGCTCGTTTTGTTGTGGCAACAGCTTCTTTATCTAATTATATCAAGAGTTTTGTTATAATAGCTGCTTTTTTTTTAAATCTCATAATGGGATACAAAGATCTCTAGGTTGCACTGCTCTAATGGTGTTCAGTTTTTGAGCCTTTTTCTCAAACACTTTACAAATTAGAGAAACCTGAGCATCAGCGAGCGCCCCAAACTGTAAACGGTCTCTCACGGCATCTGCTCTTGAAAGCAGAAAAAGAGGAGAGAACGAAGCAGCGGGTGGTGGGAGTGTTTCATTTTTTAGGAGGTGTGTGATGTCACCGGTCCAGCTGCGCTGACCAGATGTGAGGGCGCCGGTGCTACAGAGAGACGAAGGGGGTCATTTTCAGCACAGCTGGTCACCCTGCGTGGCGCAGAGCCATCCATCCATCTCTCTCGCGTAAACACACCAACCCTTCCCCCCCTCTTCTCTGCCTGTGTCTGTGCACCACAATCCCTTTTTTATGGATTACTGGAGCTATGAGATTAATGGAAAAACAATTACCCTTATATCTGCAGACATATTTTAATGCATCTCTGGCAGTAAAAAAAAAAAGAAAAGAAAAAGACAAGGGTGTTGTTGTTTTTTTTTCATGCTGGGACAAAAAAGCTGCCTTAGTTTCTAAAAGGGTAAAAACTGAGTTCGGTTTGATTAAAGGTAGTTTGTGGAGACAAAAGCAGGAGAAATTACTTCAAGGAATGCCCAAAAATGAAAACGCTGTAAATCTAAAGATATGGGAGCATGTTTACAAAGAAGATGAATCCATTACTCTCCAAACAAGAAAGCAGGATGATGTCATCATGTAGCCTCTGTCTGAACATGACTCATGGTGATGTGGTCACATCGGCCAAACAATGGATGCTTTCTTCCATTAGAGTCAGAAGCTTGATGAATTATAATATAATTTTTAAACAAAGCAAAAACAGAAATGTAGGAATCTATATTTACTGACCAAATCCTGTCCTGGGGAGAAAGGATTAATAAGTGGAGTCCTTCCTGATTAATTAAGAGCTGTGGTCACTAAGAAGAAAATACAAGGGATGCTTAAAGAAGATTAACAAGAGAAATCTTTGACCTGAGGGTGAGATCACAGGAAATTAAATACGCCATACTGGAAAAAATTTAGACATTTTCAAATACCAAAAACAAAAAATCTCTTTCTAAACATGTTTCTTAAATGATCTGAATGAACAATAAATCTAAAGTAATAGCATTGAATTTAAGACACCGTTTTGGCAACTAGATTCTCATCATATTCGTGTCACCGGGACGTGAACATCTACAGCATTCGCACAGCGACACTACAGGTATCGTTTCGTCTGGTGAGTTCTTAATGTAAACTGGAGCAACATTTTAGTAAAGCCAAAAATTATTCACAGTTTAACGTGATCTTTCCCCCCAGAAGCAATATTGGCGTACTGAGGTGGCCCAGTCAAAGTCCAGATTTGAATCTAATCTGTGCTAAAGATTAGGGTGACGCCAAGAAGGCCTTTCCATGTCACCAAATCCATGAAAATACCATTAGGAACATGGAATATGTTTGATGATTAAATATTAAGAAGGGCATAAATAATCTGCAACAGGCTATTTAATTTTTTTTTTTTTTTAAAGCGTAATGTTTTTAAATTTATATTCCTTTTACACAAACAGTCGACCAAAAGAAAAACTTTGATTTAAAAAAAAAAAAAAAAAATTATATTTGCCACATAAACATCAGCTTGCAAAAGCGACGTTCTGAGTCAAACAGACATTCCTGGAGCGTCAGGGTTACACAAGCGGCTGCACGCTTCCCTCACCTGAGCAGCGTTTCTGCAGGGAGAGGATCTCCAGGTGGAGGCCGTGGAGCAGAGTGAGGTGCTCCTGCCTGAGGAACACCACGCTCCTCTCCACGCTCTGGATCTGATGAGAGAGGCGGCTTTCCTCAGCCATGGCTGCAGGAGTCTGCAGGGGGCAGAGGGAGAACAAATAAGAGGCTGACTTTCTTAACATGCCGCTGTGCGAAGCTCAACAGAAGAAAATCTGTTCAATCAAGGCCACACTGATGCTATAAATACGGTAGTAATGACCAGGGGTGCTCCAAGGGGGCACTGACCTCACCTAACATGCAGAAAATATATATTTTATGTAAATTTAAGAAATTGAAGCCAAGGAACTGCTTTAGCTGGACTTTGGGCATATTTACGTTTGATGTTTTCTTTGGTGTGTGAGGAAACAGACTTCTGGTTGTTTGATTCTTTGTCAAAACAACCTGCTTTGTTTTTGTTTTTTTTTTTCTTTTTTTTTTTTTTTTTTAAATCTAGCAAGACTTGACCGATCACTAATCAATCAGAACATTGTCCGAAAATTAGCCCAGAGTCCCCGTGGCAACTTTAAAGGAGCCGCAGCGATCGACAACTCTGTTGGGAAAATCAATTGACAGGAAATAATGCAAGTCAACCACTCAACACATCTGACCTTTAAGGAAAAGAAAGCAATTTTTTTTAAAAGAAAGCTATAAAAGAAAAAAGTGCAGTTTGTAATTTACTAAAAAACCATATAGAGCCATGGAAAAAGGTTCTCAAGTCNAAAAAAAAACTGGAGGCTCAGGTTCAAGAGGAAACATAAAGAAACAGAAACCATCCACAAGCTCAGCATTTGGCTTTCTGCTCTGCAAACCATGGCATATTTAACAAAACAAAAGCTGACCATGCTGCACAGCCTGGTCCCTAAACAATTAAAGTCTCAACTTTAGCCTGCATTTCATATAAACCATAAAAAAGCAACAGGTCACTAAGATGGTTTGGCTCATCACAAGGCAAGTTGTTTAGCGATGAAGTCTTTTCTGTCCTTGTAATGCCTCTATAGAAACACCAGGGGTCAGTTGGATCTTAAAGGGGAAGACACACACAAACAGGACTGAAGGAGATTTCCAGTTTGGACACTTTAGACTCTGTTCAGCTCAGAGTTTGGGTCGTTGGCCCTTTAAGAAATCCCACAGTTCTATGTAAACTACAGGTAAAAAAAACACAGGATAAGACGTAATGTCAACAACCTACAGTACAAATTAATATAAGATATATTTTTAAATCTGTTTCCTTTGTTTTAAGCATTTCTATTTTGAAGATGGCTAATTTCTCAATTGATCCAGGAAGTAAAAAAACAAAACAAAACAAAAAAGCTAAAGAGAATCAGGAGGTCAAAACATTAAAAAAACAGATTAAAAAAATATCTTTCTCTGCTATACAAGACAATTTTACTTTTACACCTTTTATCTTACACCAGGTAATTCAAAGCCATCAAGAAGATGCAGAAAATATAAGTAATCGTTTCAGTTCTGCTTAGAGCAGGAGATTTACTAATGTTGATAAAAACATGTAAATCATTCTCATCCTCTAAGTCTCGAGCATGACTGTGAGCTGTATGGAAACAAATCCAGTCTGGGATAGTTCTGTGGGGCTTGTCATTTCCCACGTCGCTGAAGCTCACCTGAATGCATCACGGTCTGTAAAACAACCAGTTCATCCCTTTGAAATCTCTTCATTTCCCACGTTATTAATTCAGGGGTGCAAACACCTTTTCATTATAATGGTCGTACTTACTATATTTTTTTCAAGCGCCCGACTACTCTGTTTACGATGCTCATTTATTAATTGAGCCAAAGACAGCTTGAAGTGAAAAGGCGTAGGAGGATCGCTGCTTGTGTCTGGCCCGTCAATCAGCGTGTCGGCATCAGACATCTGCTCAGCCAGCGAATCTGTCACACACTTCAGCTCGGCATTGGGGGGTCGATGGCTGGCTCATCTAATCCTCAGATATGTCTGAACGTACAGAAATATTCCTGTAAGAGGAAATATTTAAAAATTTCTATTTTCAGGCACAAACCTTCCAAACTGTTGAATTTCTTTACTAGATAATAAGGATAGGCCTGTCGCAATGAGTAATAAATCAATTAATCACAAGATTAATTCAAACTTTTTCCTTTTCTCTCTCTTTCCACCAAAATTGTGTGACAAAAGTCTTCAGTTTGTTGTTTTGGTCTCAACTATCCCTTTTTTTTTTGAAGATTAATTTTGTTCACAGAGACTTCATTTTATTTGTCGTTTTTTTTTTAAATTATTATTATTTTAGATATTTAAAGAGTTCCAGTGTTAAATGTTTGCTAGAATTTACAGTTTATTGATATTTCAGAGTGAGTTGGTGCATTATTATGCCAATACCGTTATATTACTTGAAAATGGCCTTTAAAGAACAATATTATCATTTATGGCAATAACGTCTGGGACAATTTATCATCCAGACAAATTTGTTATTGTAAAAGGCATGGATAAGAACTTATTTACTTTTGTTATCATTGTATTTATTATTTCCCATTTCCCCATCTCTTATCCTCATGTCACACCATTTCTTTCCTCCGCTCTGCAGCTGGCAAGAAAAGAGACGGAGGCAAAGAATCAAGAGGGAACAGCAGCAAAAGGGAAAGAGATGGAAATACTGTCAGAAAACTTTCCAGCAGCTGGTTTTATGGTAATGAAGGACGGCGGAAGAGCTTCAAAAGCTCCGATTTCTTGTTATCCTTCTGCACCATCAACGCAAGGCATTTATGCAGCCAATTCATTAACAACATGCCGATAGTGAGGGAGGACTGAAAACGGAGCATTCAGCACATTGCAGCATCCAGCAACGCTTTGTGGGTCAGCCTTATCTCCAGCAGCCCATAACTGAGCATTAGAGGTTTTCTGTTTCATCGATTCTGCCTTGAATGCTGCAAAGATATCCTGAAGGACAAACCTACTGACAGAGACAATAAAACGTGCACTAAAGCAGGGGAGGGGAAAAAAAAGAGACCTAATTTAAAAGAAGTGAATTAGCTTGTGGCTGAAGGAGACGGCAGCAAAGAGGCATTTTATGCTGATGAGAAAATTCAGGAAGCAATAAAAGGTCAGCAGCAGAAAGACGCAGCTGATGATCACAACATGCTCGGCTCAACCTTGCAGCAACCTTCGAGGCGGCAGATGAGTGAGCGGACTGAAAACACACATTTCATCTGCAGACATTAAGAAACGTCCCCTTCGTAAAACCTATTGAACACGTAGGTGCACTACAAACATAAATGCTCTGAAACTGCGCAGGAAGCATGTCTTATTACGCGACGAACGGCTTTCTATAAAAGCCGTGCGACCGTCGAGGTGGATGGCGGGATTTCAGCAAGAGACTCCAACTAAACTGAAGGCTGAAACATGTATAATATTTAATGCCGTGCTCTTGAGACGACGTCTTTAGCATTTCGCGTTGAGAAATCAGATCTTAGGTTTGTTTTCTCTTGATGAACGTTCAGTTATCCTGTTCTTCTGAAAAGCACGATGTCTGGCTCGTTTTGTTGTGGCAACAGCTTCTTTATCTAATTATATCAAGAGTTTTGTTATAATAGCTGCTTTTTTTTTAAATCTCATAATGGGATACAAAGATCTCTAGGTTGCACTGCTCTAATGGTGTTCAGTTTTTGAGCCTTTTTCTCAAACACTTTACAAATTAGAGAAACCTGAGCATCAGCGAGCGCCCCAAACTGTAAACGGTCTCTCACGGCATCTGCTCTTGAAAGCAGAAAAAGAGGAGAGAACGAAGCAGCGGGTGGTGGGAGTGTTTCATTTTTTAGGAGGTGTGTGATGTCACCGGTCCAGCTGCGCTGACCAGATGTGAGGGCGCCGGTGCTACAGAGAGACGAAGGGGGTCATTTTCAGCACAGCTGGTCACCCTGCGTGGCGCAGAGCCATCCATCCATCTCTCTCGCGTAAACACACCAACCCTTCCCCCCCTCTTCTCTGCCTGTGTCTGTGCACCACAATCCCTTTTTTATGGATTACTGGAGCTATGAGATTAATGGAAAAACAATTACCCTTATATCTGCAGACATATTTTAATGCATCTCTGGCAGTAAAAAAAAAAAGAAAAGAAAAAGACAAGGGTGTTGTTGTTTTTTTTTCATGCTGGGACAAAAAAGCTGCCTTAGTTTCTAAAAGGGTAAAAACTGAGTTCGGTTTGATTAAAGGTAGTTTGTGGAGACAAAAGCAGGAGAAATTACTTCAAGGAATGCCCAAAAATGAAAACGCTGTAAATCTAAAGATATGGGAGCATGTTTACAAAGAAGATGAATCCATTACTCTCCAAACAAGAAAGCAGGATGATGTCATCATGTAGCCTCTGTCTGAACATGACTCATGGTGATGTGGTCACATCGGCCAAACAATGGATGCTTTCTTCCATTAGAGTCAGAAGCTTGATGAATTATAATATAATTTTTAAACAAAGCAAAAACAGAAATGTAGGAATCTATATTTACTGACCAAATCCTGTCCTGGGGAGAAAGGATTAATAAGTGGAGTCCTTCCTGATTAATTAAGAGCTGTGGTCACTAAGAAGAAAATACAAGGGATGCTTAAAGAAGATTAACAAGAGAAATCTTTGACCTGAGGGTGAGATCACAGGAAATTAAATACGCCATACTGGAAAAAATTTAGACATTTTCAAATACCAAAAACAAAAAATCTCTTTCTAAACATGTTTCTTAAATGATCTGAATGAACAATAAATCTAAAGTAATAGCATTGAATTTAAGACACCGTTTTGGCAACTAGATTCTCATCATATTCGTGTCACCGGGACGTGAACATCTACAGCATTCGCACAGCGACACTACAGGTATCGTTTCGTCTGGTGAGTTCTTAATGTAAACTGGAGCAACATTTTAGTAAAGCCAAAAATTATTCACAGTTTAACGTGATCTTTCCCCCCAGAAGCAATATTGGCGTACTGAGGTGGCCCAGTCAAAGTCCAGATTTGAATCTAATCTGTGCTAAAGATTAGGGTGACGCCAAGAAGGCCTTTCCATGTCACCAAATCCATGAAAATACCATTAGGAACATGGAATATGTTTGATGATTAAATATTAAGAAGGGCATAAATAATCTGCAACAGGCTATTTAATTTTTTTTTTTTTTTAAAGCGTAATGTTTTTAAATTTATATTCCTTTTACACAAACAGTCGACCAAAAGAAAAACTTTGATTTAAAAAAAAAAAAAAAAAATTATATTTGCCACATAAACATCAGCTTGCAAAAGCGACGTTCTGAGTCAAACAGACATTCCTGGAGCGTCAGGGTTACACAAGCGGCTGCACGCTTCCCTCACCTGAGCAGCGTTTCTGCAGGGAGAGGATCTCCAGGTGGAGGCCGTGGAGCAGAGTGAGGTGCTCCTGCCTGAGGAACACCACGCTCCTCTCCACGCTCTGGATCTGATGAGAGAGGCGGCTTTCCTCAGCCATGGCTGCAGGAGTCTGCAGGGGGCAGAGGGAGAACAAATAAGAGGCTGACTTTCTTAACATGCCGCTGTGCGAAGCTCAACAGAAGAAAATCTGTTCAATCAAGGCCACACTGATGCTATAAATACGGTAGTAATGACCAGGGGTGCTCCAAGGGGGCACTGACCTCACCTAACATGCAGAAAATATATATTTTATGTAAATTTAAGAAATTGAAGCCAAGGAACTGCTTTAGCTGGACTTTGGGCATATTTACGTTTGATGTTTTCTTTGGTGTGTGAGGAAACAGACTTCTGGTTGTTTGATTCTTTGTCAAAACAACCTGCTTTGTTTTTGTTTTTTTTTTTCTTTTTTTTTTTTTTTTTTAAATCTAGCAAGACTTGACCGATCACTAATCAATCAGAACATTGTCCGAAAATTAGCCCAGAGTCCCCGTGGCAACTTTAAAGGAGCCGCAGCGATCGACAACTCTGTTGGGAAAATCAATTGACAGGAAATAATGCAAGTCAACCACTCAACACATCTGACCTTTAAGGAAAAGAAAGCAATTTTTTTTAAAAGAAAGCTATAAAAGAAAAAAGTGCAGTTTGTAATTTACTAAAAAACCATATAGAGCCATGGAAAAAGGTTCTCAAGTCGGATGAGATCAAAGTTGAATTTTTTGCACCTCACTCTACTGAAACCTGTCAGTGGCAGCATCATGCAGCGGGAACGCTTTTTTTTTTTTTAAATCAGAATTGATGGGAAGATGGAGGAAGCTGAGCTGGTAGAAACAAAACCTCAAAACTTTCTACAAAGTATCGACTCAGGGGGCTGAATTAAATGGCTCAGCACCACGTGGACGTGGGTAAAGTTTCTTAGAAAGATGAGCTAATTTAGACCATTTTTTGATCTCATTTGAGCCAAAACTAATCTGACCCCTTAGGTTCAACTCACATCTTCCTAAAAGTTTGCATGCATTTGTTTCCTCTTAAAAAAAATTTAAACAATGTATTATTTTTCTTACTTGACATTTCCACACAAACTTATTAGATAAAAATCCCAGTGAAGTTTGTGTTTAAGTAACATGACAAGATGGTAAATTTATTTATTCATCCATTTTGACCTTCTTAGTCATTAGCCAAAATTTTTAAGTGTCTTTTATTCACTCATTGCCTTTACCAAGACACAACATCACACCAACACTTGAAATTCTATTATTGCTTTAGTTTTGGTGCACCAAGGTGAGTGACCCCCCATCTGGTCACCCGTTCAGAAACTTTCTAGAGGCGCCCCTGCTAATGAGTCAAATTAGCAGAGGATGCAGGCAGCTCTCCAAGAAAGACTCTTGCTTACCTTCAAAGTGAGGCTAACCAGGTTGACTCGAGAGAAAATGACACAGACGCGTTATAAAACGTCCTGTGATGCGGGCATGCTGCTCTCCGGCGCTGCTCCAAATCCTGCGGGATGCGACATTCACCGAAACTCCTCTCATCTGAAGCGATAAAGCGCTTCCCAGCGGCATGTGACGCCGTTTATTTAGAGGAGAGAGGGAGGCTGCGCGGCCCCATCGGTCCTCCGACAAAGCCGCTCCTCCTTGCAACGTCCGCGCCGAGCCTCGCAGGCAAGAGCATCGATCAGGGACGGGATGTAGGACAGCCTGGCGGTGCGCAGTCCATTATAATAATAATAATAATAATTATCATTATTATTGTTGTTGTTTCCCAGGATGCCTCTGCTGCTTCTTCACCCGCGGAGAGAAGCACAGAGCCGCTGGATGGAGCTGGGAAACGATGAAAACAAGCCACCGTGATCAGAGCATCGTACGACAGAGTGAGAGGGCCAGCTGATTGGAGGAGAGAGGACCTGACAGCTGCGCGTCAACACGCATCAGGATCAATATAGGAGGGCAGAAACTGGAAAGTTGCCGCTCGGAGCAATAAAACTTTCTAAGAGAGAGAAAGGATTTTTTTTTTCCTTCCGTTTCCCACAAACAGAGCTGATATACGTGTCAATCCTTTTTGGGTTCACGGACTTGTTCTTGTGTGTGTGTGTGTGTGTGGATTTTTTAAAAAGCATTTTTGCATAACTAGGTCGTTTTTTTTTTTTTTTTTTTTTTTTTTTTAAATTGCCAGTGTGGGGATTTGTTTATTTAAACCAAAACTGGATCTAAAAGAAGGCGAAG